CACGTCTGGTGAAGTCGTGACGGAGCTTCCTCCTCTCGGCTCTGCAGACATCACACGTTGCTTTGTGGCGTTTCTAGTGTCAAACACTAAGCTGGTTAGCCGTTAGCCGCAGTGCTGCTGTCCTCACATATTTACTCACGTTGCAGCTGCTGCAAACTACGAACTGGATTTCCTGAATGTGAGGCGGGTCTCGTTACTCTGGGTTCACGAGACACGCCTCCGTTCAGGAAATCCGTTCCACAGTTTGAAGCCACCGTGCAGAGCAGCAGGCAGGGGATCACATGTGGAGAAGTTTCAGCAGACGAACATGCATCATGGATCGGAAAAATCCGATACGTAAATTATGCTGGAACCAGATACCAGATACCAGATCAGTCCCATTCCTGGTTAGAGATTCCCGAGTCTAACAGCCTCAGGGTAGAAGCTGTTCCTCAGTTTAGTGGTTTTACACTTAATGCTCCTCAACCTCCTTCCTGAGGGGAGTGGGGCAAAAAGTGTGTGTGCTGGGTGAGTGTGGTCCTTCATGATGCAGGTGGCCCTCTTCCTGCATCTGGAGGTGTAGATGTCTGTGATGGTGGGGAGGCTGACGCCAACAGACCACAATACAGATGCGCTAGCTAAGATGCTACATGCTCACCCCCCGGTCAGCAACCTGCTGTAAGCCAACACGCAACATGGGGGTGTCTCACACTCCTCCCCGCACCCCGACAACAAAATCTTTTCGGATCTAAACGATTCACGTAAAAGACATTTTAGTTGAAAACAGCGAATTTTGCCAAAAAGCGACTAGTTTGCAGGTTTGACTTTATTGGAACATTTGCAATCAAAAACACGATGGCGAGTTCATCTCAACACATCGATACCAACAGATCGAGAAGAACGGGACTAATTTAAAAGATTAAAAAAAAAAAATTTTTTCGATGGAGACAAACCGTCAAGTTCATGCTCCGTTTCACGATGAGCTGACAAGCGTAGCCCGTTTAGAAAAAGCTTCCCGAGCTTTAGTGTGAACTTCAGTTCAGAGGACAGAACGTCTCAGGACCGTTACTTGAGCTTGACCAACTCGGCGGAGGTTCCTTTAGTGTCGAAGAACCGGACTCCGGCGTGGAGCGGCTGGGTGAACGTGGTCTGGACTCTGTGGAGGAGAGTCATGGTTTCAGAGACGCTGTAGAAGGACAGAACACCGGCCCTGTGGTCCAGGTACACCCCGACCCTGGAGGAACCAGGACCAGAGATCACAAACACGTGGTTATCGTGGTCAAACTTGAACCCCCGTCTGGTTGAACTTAGAGCCCAGGACTGGTCGTTGAACCCGAACGCACATTCATTGGCCGGCCCTTGTCTTTTGATGGTTTGGTAGGAGGCTGAGATACAAACGTCACCTCCGCTCCACTCCACCTCCCAGTAGCAACGTCCAGTCAGACCCTTCTTACTCAGGACCTGATGGTAGTGGGTGAACTGGTAGGGATGCTTGGTGGAGGTCTGCTGGTGATTGATGCACGTTGCTCTTTGGTTCCCCTCAGAAAGGACCAACTCTTCGTTCGCCGTGTTTGGATCCAAGGTGAGATCTCTGGAGAACACCAGGAAGTCGGCTCTGGTGTCTGGTTCTGTTGCTGGTAGTAAAACGTCCACATCAGAGATGAGCATGCGGACGCTTGTCCACTCCTCGTTCAGCAGCTCCTCTAGTTTGTCTCTGAGCTCCTCCACAGCTGCTGTGACCCTCTCAAAGTATCTCCGAGGATGAACCTCGATGCTGGATGAGTGTGGAGACTCACCCAGTGCTGACACCGACTGGTAGTTGTGGAGAAAGTGGTTGTGGTCCTGTGTGTGTGAGAGCTGCTCCAGCTCGGCGTCTTTCCTCTTCAGCTCAGTGATCTCCTGCTCCAGCTTCTCCTGAAGCTTCCTGACTCTCCTCACTTCATATTCCTTCTGAGATCTGATCCGCTGCTTCATATCAGACCTCTTTTTCTTGATGAACTTGATCAGCTTAGACAAGAGTCCCTTGTTCTCTTTCATTGTTTGATCAGCAGAGACATTGATGGCCTCCACCTCCTCCTGGAGCAGCTTCACATCTTTCTCTTGGTCCTGGATTCTCTGCTGGATTTGTTGTCGACTCGCCTCGAGCTCCTTCTGCTTCTCAGCTCTTCCTGCTGAAACGTGCACCGTTTCGTGACCTTTGTGTCCGTCCATCGCGCAGAGATAACAGATGCACTGCTGATCAGTACGACAGAAGATCTTCATCACCTCATCATGAGAAGAGCAGATGTTCTCCTGGAGCTTCTTGGAGGGCTCCACCAGCTGGTGTTTCTGTAATGGTGGAGCTTCATGGTGAGGCTGGAGATGTTTCTCACAGAAAGAAACTAAACAGTCCAGACAGGACTTGGCAGCTTTCAGTTTCCTGTCAGAGCAGACGTCACAGGACACGTCTTCAGGTCCAGCATAGCATTGATAATCTGGAGCAGCTTGGAGGTCAATCTTCTTCAGCTCCTCCACCAGCTCTGCTAACATGATGTTTTTCACCAGGTCAGGCCTCAGCTTGAAGTCCTTCCTGCACTGAGGGCAGCTGCAGACTCTCTTCTTACCCACTCTATCCCAGTGGGTTTGGATACAGCCCAGACAGTAGCTGTGTCCACAGGGAATGGTCACCGGATCCTTCAGGAGATCCAAACAGATGGAGCAGGAGATGGTCTCCTGATCAAGCTTGGGTTTGATTGGAGACATTTTGCTTTTTGGCAGCCTTTAAAAACTATATGAGAGACAAAGAAATTAAACAACATTAGTTATTTATAGTTGGCATTTTTTGTTTTGTTTATGAGTACAGAATATGTACAGAAATAAAAGTAATTTATTTTTAAATTAACCTAAAATTTAGCACTTGTCTTTACAGATAAAGACATCTTTAAAAAGTTTCCAAACTAAATTTTTATCTTTAACAGTTTTTAACTGACATGAAACTTTAACTCCTATTATAATTATTTTTATTATTATTAATTATATTTTACAAGATGAAGCCAAAAAGTCCTCTTTTTAAATGTGTTTTCAGTATTTCATCTAATTTTATTTTTCAAAAATCGCAGCGATGAGTTTCTGACCAATCAGAGGCCACGGAGTCTTCTCAGCCAATCAGAACTGTCCACGCCCCTAACGGCTCGTTCCTCAGCGTGCGCAGACTCTCTCGTTTTTAACAAATAAAAAATATATTCGCTCAAGAATTTAACACTTATCTTTCAACTGGAAAAAACAGTGACAACATCTTCCAAATTAACATTAAAAATGAGCTAAAGGCCTAACAAGGAAGTTGTAGATTGGCTTAAAGTCACGTGACACGCTGAACGCAGCCAATCAGGAGACGGGACTCAGATTCAAACTCAAGTCCAGCTGCGGAACAAACTGACCTTAAAAATAGTCTTAAAACATGTAATTTACCGTAAAAACCGTAATAATAAACGACATTACATGCGGAAACATACCGAGTACAACACATATACATATATACACACACACACAGCATTAATTCATGTTTTTTAACCGATTAAAACAAATAAAAAGCAGAAACTCTAAAAGGTAATAAAATAAAAAGTCAAGAGCAAGTTTTTAACGTGACGTTTCTGAGTAAACTAGACGAAGATAAAACATTTTTTTAATGTTTAAAACACCTACCGAATTAAAGTTTAAGTGTTACCTGATGAGGCGGATCCAAGTGGACCGGGAATCCCACCGAACTGGGTCGGTTTTCTCGGTTTTCTCAGCGGAACGAAAGGACAGTTTTACTTGAACCTCTTCAATCATAGACGCGTCTGTGTGTTCGACGTACTGCGCCTGCGCCAAGTAGGCAGCTCTACAGAAGAATAGGCGTTGCCAAAGACCACATCTGATTGGACAAATTGAATAAGGCGTTTCTCAAGTTCCACATCTGATTGGACCAACAAAATAATGCATTTCTTAAGACCACATCTGATTGGACTAATAAAAATAAGGCGGAGCTTTTTCTTCTTCTACTACTGGCGGATTTTAAACAACGTTCAGGCTCACACCGCCACCTACTGACCATGAAAACTCATAGCCTCCTTTCTAAATTCAGTTTTTAATTTCTATGTGTAAATATTAAACAACCTTTTTCTAATAAGACTTAGTTCCTTCTTCTTGTCCTCCTCTGTTCC